TGCTTGCAGCTAACGAAGACAGCCCAGAAGTTACTGGAAAGGCATATTCAGATGAAACTATTCGCGAGGTTTGGCGTCAAAACGGTATAAAAAATACAGAATTTTGAAAGGAAAAAAACAATGGAAAAGTCCGCACCGGAAGCAGACTGAGGCAAAGCTGGAGCTGTTGTTGCAGGTGGAGCTGGAGCATCTGCTTGAGTGCTGGCATTTCGCATAGCAAGCGGGGGCTTCACCCGGAACGGAGACGAAATCTGAAAAAATAGCTTTACTCTCTCATTACCGTAAATTTCTTCATACCTTCTGGCTCAATGATGTCTCAAGATTAGGAACGTTGAGGAACGATGAGCTAAGTGTATCGTCAGCAGTTGCCGCGTCAATTCGCAGTGGCTCTACCTTTTTCGTCACAATTCTCATGTTCTTCTGAAGTCTTAGTAAAATTTAACTCTTCTGAGAAATGGGAGCCAAACCTTTGCATTCATGATCTCCAGCATTCTTGCTCGTTGTTGTAATTTAGAGCCTGCTTTAGGAATTGTTATAGGCTTGAAGGCAGGTGTGTAGATCACAGATGATGGGGCCTCTTCATACAAAGATTGGTCCACCAGTGTTGAATTAGAGAGTGACTGGTCATTTGCTGTGGTATTGGAGCTTTTCCTAGATATAGCTGTGAGAAATTTACTGGAACATAACTAATCTAAGAATTACTTTTTCTGTAATGCAAGATGCGACATTTTGCGTTCAATGTCCTCTACATGAGCGCGGACTATAGTAAAATATCGTGCCATGTTTTTCATGCTCTCCTGGAGTCGTACCTCAAACTTCGGATCAAATTCCGAAGCTCGACGGGGCTTGGAGACAACCTGTAGAAAGACGAATGACCAATAAAGTGAGAACGTAACTGACGCCAGAAAAATTTTAAAAAAAGAGGAAAAAACGCTCACCGATAATTTTTTGGTTTCAGCGATTAATTTCTTTGCCTCATGAAGCCTTATGGTAAAATCTTCGAATTTTTGCAGCACACTGTCCGAATGAGTCCTCTGAAAATTCAAAATCAACTCGGTGCCTTCCGATAACCTGCAGGAGTCCTGACTTCTAGAAGATCCAGTGGACGCTTATAGGCTAGCTCAACATCCCTGGTTTCCTTATACGTTGCAGTTTTCTCTTCAACCAGCTCCTTCTTCTCTAAAATATCGCAAATTTTCAAACCTTATCCTGAAATGCGAGTGATTCACCTGCTAAAAGCCTCAGCATATCACACAACTCCTCATCTAACTCCATAACCATGCGCTCAATCTCATCAGCGGTTTCACAGTTCTCAGCATGAGTCAGAGAAGCGACTAAAGTAATGTTAGCGCCACAAAAAGAAGAAAGCATGAAATTGCAAACCTGCTTCATCAATGACCTCGGCGGCCTTCTGCTTGTTGATGGTGAACGAATGTATGTCTTTATGGGCTTCATCCCAAGCTTTTCGGAACTTCTGCACCGCTTCTTTCGCAGCTTTGCGTGCAGCGGCAACAGCGGCTTTCTCGGCTTTTGCTAGCTCAGCTGGATCCGGGCCGGTTTTCTACAAAAAATTATGAAATAAACACAAGTATGAATATAACAATTTGTGACATACCTCTTGAGCAGGCAATGAAGCTGTAGACAAGCTAGCCGTCGACAGCGGCGCGTTTGTTGGAGGCTGCGACGTGGCTACACCTGCTGCTGGTTTTCCAAAGACTAAAAGTGAGGAAAATATCAGTTGTTTCTAAAGGCAGCGTCCGGGCAAAAAGTCGTTTTTGTGATTTTGTGCTTACCACGGTCTATTCACTATGCTGAATCCGAAAATCCACATTGGAGAGC